TTGCAGTGCGCTCCACCCTTCCTGGAAGCAAACCTGTATATGAGATCAACCTTAAACAGTCTGGATTGCACTACAGGCCCAGCTCCAAGGACAGATTGACATAATTATTTTGTTTGTAGCTCAGTTTTTTTCTAGATTCTAGCAATTTTTTAGTGTCATTTCTCTGGTTTTAGTGTGGCTTTAGCGACATTGCCAGTCAGCAGGCTCTGTCGATGCTTGTTGGGTCTAGGACGATGGATCAAAGCCAGTCTTTTTAAAGAGGACCAGTGGTTTAGGTCCTGATTGAAGAGATGGAATATGGATATTTAGTTTCTGACAGGAACCACAACAAAAGAAGAACTTTTGTTGTGGTTGGCTGAGATCTGCACAGTGCCCTCTGATCTACTTCTGCACACGCACAGATACACACATGCTGTTCTCTGAAATCCTGCTTGTTTGTTTTCGAGAAAACACAAACGCACACTTTGACAGAATACCCCGTTCATTGTTACAGTTTCAATGGTTTGTTCAAACACCCCAGTCTTTTCCAAGCTCTTGGTGAAGGGAAGCAGTCCATTAAAACCGACCCTTCTATAATGTTCTCTCTAATTCTTGCGCTGAATATTCTGTAGATTGTCGACAAAATCATTCAAATTAAAATAAATACTAACCTTACAGTATTATATATTCTGATACAACAACATCACAAACTTCAGCAGCGAAAATCAACTGAGCTGATTCAACATCAGTAACAACAAAGAATGAATATTCTGATCTTAAATGTATCGAATTGATTGCAAAGCTGTGTTTTACTTTGTCCATTTGTTCCAGTTATTTTGTCCATTTCCAGTACAAATATCAGGTCTTGGGTTGGTTTGAGTATATCTGGTCGTTGCTTACTCGTAAATACTTGATCCCCCCCGTCTAAATCTGCTCAACGCCGTGTTGAAATTGAGCTAGATTATTTTCTTTCAGGAATAGACAGCTGGGTAATCTGATTTACCATTGATTTACTTGCTAATGTGGTATTGATCAAAATGAGGCAGAGGTGGCACCACAGCCATTATATTTTGTTTAGCCATGCTAGTGGCATTGATGAATCCTATTGACGTAGGCGATCACCTGCTATTTAATATAGTGTTATCTTTTGTTGTTGACCAATAATACTTTGTGTATAGTGGTAAAATGTTAGCATGCTAACAAGCTTAACTGAGATAGTGATGTTTGGTTAACATCATGCCTGCGTGTTAGCATTAGTCAAAGCAGCACTGTGCCTAAGTGCAGCCTTGCAGAGCCGTTAGCATGGCAGTTATTTTTACAGGAATATAAATTCACACGTGCGACAGGCGCTCAGCTCTGGCTCTGCTTATTGCAAACGACGGTTATGACTGAGCAACTGTGACTTCCATCGCTTTGATCTTCGTTTTGTTGGATGGCCTACCGAGGGCAACATGTGGACAGCGTTGTAGTGTCTGTGTTGATCTCTTTTATGTTTATTGAATAGATTTCATGAAATCTGATTTTGAATTGACAGGCGGGCGAGCTGTAATTCAATCTGGTCAATTTGATCATGGAGTCCTAGCCTGTGAGTGTCTTCAGCTGTATATAAATGAACTACTGCAAGCTTAGTTAATCATTTAAAACTTTTTTTAAGGGTGGTGTGTTAGTCCGCTCAGTAGGCGAGCAGTCGAAACTAGTCGAAGCTTGTCGATGCTCGGTGGTGTATAGACACATCAACACTGAAAGGGAAATTGGAGAGCTTGCATCACTTTGTCTAAACCTCGCTGGAGGCAAACAGTATTCTCAGTGGGAGGTTATTTGACCGAGGAGGATTCATGCTTGTGAGTGGGTTGGGTTGTCGGGTTGTTGGGTGTGTGTGTGGAGTTTTTCCAGCAAGGAGTGGGTTTGCCCTCCAGCCTGTCCATGTTTTTGACAGATATTCCTCTGTACTTCCTGTGTGATATGATACAGGTGTTAAGCAGCTAGTCATAAATGTGTAAGCATACAGATGGGGAGCAGCATACCTCCATTTCTGTAACTCATCTTCCCTGCAGAGAGCTTAAATTCAAACACATGATGTGGTCTTTGGATGTTTTAGTAACCCAGTCAGTCACATCAAAATGATCCTTTTTGCAGGACTGTTAAAGCCATAGGCTGTATACAACATGGGCAAAGTCTCCGTGACATCACCCACAGGTTTCTGAAGAGCTGTTTTGAAGCTCAAAGTCGGCGGTTCCGGCCGTCGCCATCTTGGCAGTGACAACACAGCCTAATTCCCAGCCTCTTCAAAAAATGGGCAAAGAGGTGGATCATCGATGAAGCCGAGGTGTGCCCCTGCCACTCAATTATAGATAACTTTAACATAAGATAACTTATTTTGTACCAGGCTGTAAAAATATGTATTTCTGCTGCAAAGTTGGGCATTATAACAACTTGCTTCTTTTCTCAGCACCTGAGGTTGCGGCTTTGTTAAAACCAGTACAAGCAAGTGTGAATGGGTTCAACATGTAGGGTAAATAAACAATGTTTTAGGGATAGTTCCTGGAGGACCTGCTGGTTGTTTTGGCAACCTCATGATGACAACAAAACTCTAAGCTAAGCTAAACCAAGCTAACTGCCCTCTGGCTGTTGCTCCATGTATACTCCATAGATATAAAAGTGGTATCAATCTCAGCAACTAAGCGGCCACAGTGCTACTTTTACTACTTCAATACATTTAAAAGTAGAGACTATAAATATATAACCAAATAATTAAAGCCAAGTGACCCATTCAGAAGTAATTTCCCATGTCTAGGCCCAGAGTTTGAGAAGGGACTCTTCACACAGTACATCATTTTTAGTAAAGCTAGAAACCTCCCTAATGTCCTGCACCAATGTCACTGATTCCTGAGGCGGAATCTCCAGCTCCAATTGTTTCTTAATCAATGTAAAAATGCTTTGCACCAGGCAGCTGATTGATAGATAAATAAATAATAAAAGGTAGTAATTTGACCTGTCGACAGCAGGTCCCTCCTCACCTGCGATGGTACTCCCATAGTACAGCTGTACTACAGCCCAGTGTTTTTATTCTCTTCTCAGAATCTTGGTGGTTTTACTGGAGCACCACTGATGCATTTGAAACACGTAATTAGACATGGTGCTGCTTCCACCACTGAACAAACAGCCTGGTCTCATTCCTAGGTCATTGAATACCAAATCTTTGTCACGCCCCTCAGCGTCTGATACCGACGCACCAGACACCCTTTAGTGTCTGTATGAGAAGTACCGGGCTTTCAACCAACTCCAACGTAAACCCATCCGCGGAAATATTAGACGCTCAGAGAAACTGCTGCTGCCCTCCATGATGGTAATGTCTATATCTTGACTCATATCCAATTAAAAGTTCATGGTAGAAGTCTGCAGCAAATGTAACATAGATAATACAAAGGAAATAGTTGAGGACAATGTGGACCACACTGTCATTTAGTGTCGATGTGTAGTATGCATGCTGTTTGTGTGTGTGTGTGTGTGTGTGTGTGTGTGTGAGAGTATGAGTATGCCATACAAGTTGGAAGCAGACGTGTATGCATTAAAGACTGTGTTCTATTGTCTCAAACACCACCAAGGTTTTACGGCCTATTTTACTGTCGGTGACCGTTGCCGTTTTATTGATAAATGGAGTACTATGATGTCATTAATTGTTAACAGTGTTTGAGCTATCGCCTGCTATCAGTGTGTGTGTGTGTGTGTGTGTGTGTGTGGGGGGGGGGGGGTCAACGAGTCTGCAGTAGATGACTCTTGGTTATCAGCAAAAGTTTTATGAGTGCGATAACGATGTCATTATGACTGGGTCAAAGTGATGTACAGACAACGTGCAGGGTAACGCTCGTTAAACGGTGATTTCATTGTTACATTCCTGCTCGTTTTCTCTCATAAGTGTCTAATCTTTTGTGTCACCACAGAAGACTTACAAGATGTGCGGTATTACTGTAGGAATCTTGCCCTACAATGATCCGATAGTATGGTGGACCCAAATGCAAGACACTGACAAGAGGTAGGTGAAGTTGTTGACGATTTGTCAGACCACAGTGAAGGAAGGTGGGGTGGAGTGGAAGACGGACTGCAGGCAAAAGTTCTTAAAGAAAGTATGGAAACTACTGAAGCGTGAACCCGCACAGTAACTGAGACGATGATCTGGTGAGGAGTAGGCGTAAAGCCAGACTTGATATACTGTAAAGTTGATGAGTAGATTGCAGAGAGAGGTGACGAGCTGATTGGTGGCAGGTGTCCAGGTAGACTGGGCGGAGATACGGCAGGACAGTTTTTGTAAACCATGGCTAGATGACATTTTGCACCTCAAACTTCCTCAGAGTCAAACTAATTTACTTTAACGAAGCAGTATGTCTATTCATATTTGTAGTAGTTTGTTTTTGTTTACTTGTTGCTCAGTTCCAATCAACATTCAATTTGATGTTTGTAAGAATATATTCAATTCAGCAGCAGCTTTTTTTTTTTCTTTCTGTTTTATTGTTGGTAAGTGTTTTTACAATTTGGCAAATGACAGAACATGCTCACTCTTGCTTTGTCCTGATGTGAATATAGTGAAACTGTAGCCTACATACATTAGAGCAAGGGGTTGACATTTTTGGTAAATGTATTTTACTAACTTTCTTGCAGGGAGTTAAACGAAAGAGTGATACCACTTTCATATATGTCTGTTCAATATGAACCTGTAGCCAGTGGCAAGTTAGCTTAGCTTAGCACAAAGACTGGAAACAGGGGGAAACCGCTAGCCTGGCTCCATCCTGGAGTCACTGCTGGTTGTGTGGCAACCTCTTACTGAAGACAAGTCTCCAAGAGGTCACTAAGATAGCCCAAGAAAGAATCCCTTTAATTATTAATGGTTAGTTTAAGATATGCTGGATTTTGTTGCCTTGCTAACTGCTTCCCCCGGCTTCCAGTGTTTATCCTAAGCTAAGCTAACTGGCTGATAGCTGTAGCTTCATATTGTGCCGACAGTCATGAGTGTGGTATCAATCTTCTCATCCCACTCCTGGCAAGAAAGTGAAGAAATGCAGCTCTCAAAATGTCAAATTATTGCTTTAACAAATCCAACTACTATAACAGTGTGTATGTTTAGTTTCTATAAAAAAGAATCGGGATTAGGGTTGTTAAATGCATCAGTCACTCTCGGGTCGGGTTGTCTGTGCTGCTCATTAGACAATCGTGCTTCTCAAAGCGAGCTTGGTTTGAATGTAGAATGCGTAAAAATAAATCTGTTCATTGCTTCTCATTCAAGATGAATAAAAAGCTGGTTGTGGGAAGTGACGGCTTCCCAGTCACTCCTCCTTACAATCAGTCTATCTGTTGTTGTCTTACCCTCCTCCCACATTCATATCTCTGTGCCTCCTAGATAGACTCCGCTCTGCAGTTTAACACACACACACACACACACACACTGCTTTGCTATCGTCATGGTTTATTGGGCGGCCATTCAGAATGAAGGGCCAAGGGGCCACCTTGGTCACAGGGTCAAAGGGTCACAAGGTTAAATACAATCCAACCTTGTTTTTCAAGCATTTCTGTTTTCCACTTTGACTTGTTGCTGTTTTCTTCCACATGGATATTTATATACCAGTAATCATGTTTCCCTCTTTGCTGTTTTTTTTTTTTCTTTTTTTTTCGCAACAAGTCAACAGGTTTTTGCACTTTGTCTGATTTCTAAAATAGTTTTGTGTAGCTTTTTTTTAAAATTTTTTTAATTAGATTCTCAATTTCAAAATACAGTACATAACAATCCACCCTGCCCTCCCCCGCTGGCTGTTTTATATATAAAGATAAAAGAGTGTATACAAAGATAGGTGGATATGGTCTTTTAGTCTAGATCGAGGTTGTCTGAAAAGTCATCCACCACACTGTACAGGACAAATTTTTAGCCACTACCTTAATAGATGGAGCTTCTCACTCCCACCTGTACATCAAAATACCTGAGTAAAACGTGTTCAGGGTCCTCACTTGACAAAAGTGATTGCTTGAATTTGGGGCGGCTATGGCTACTTTTCTTAAATAACTCATGCACCACTTTTGCCCTCAGTAAATTCCATGCTTGCTGGTCCCAAACCAGCTCTGCTGTCTTAGTGAGGGAACTTTTTCTCAGAGCTGTGCTGACCACACATACTTTACATGCCTCTCTTTTTGATAGCATTCACCATAGTTACTGAGAATTAAATGAAACAGGATCGCAAAGCCATTCACACAGTTAACCTTTTTCAGTGCTAAAAAAGTGTTCCTGCTGAGACAGCCTGAGCTTCAGTGAAATCAGTTGATTTGATTAATGACTCAGAGAGTTGTATTTATCCCATATGTGCAGGTATTGAGAAGGAAGAAGTTAGCACACAACATGAAAAGAGATTTAGGGTATAAATTCTCAAGGTAATTTTGTCCCATGCCATTGGACAAGGGGTCTGATATTCTGTGAACATACTCCTCTCAGAAAAGTATGTATTTGTAGTCTCGGCATCCAGAGATAAAGGTTTGTTGACGACATCTGAGCATGCCGAGGCTGTAATCCAGGCACAGATGCAGAACATGATGAACATGCTGTCCCACGTAGGATCTGTCTTAGCCAATAACCCCCTGGGGTCAGATTGTTACCACCTAATTGTTAGCATGACAAGAATGTTATCACGGGGTCCCATTGGCCTATGAAAGCATGGATCATTCTCCAATACCAGAAATAAGATCTGTTTCGTGTTATGTATTTCAAATTGCTTGATCTTCATTCAGTTATTAACAAAACAGACATTGACCAGACTCGCATTTTCATGTCAAAGTTGTACAACATCATTTTCCCAAGTTTTATTTCATGAATGTTCTGTTCAAACAGGAGTCACTGCTGCGTAGAATAAATACGTTGCGCCTTTCCTGTTGCCATACGAGACATCTGAGTCTCTGCTGTTCTGAAAAATTTTGCATCTCACAATCGAGTCCGAGTTGTGTTCCAGGCAGTTGCATACTGTGTAATAACACACAGTAGATATATAACCTCGCAAATTGCCCGAGTGTGAGAGCGCAGCCACCGTCTGCCTCGTGTTTGTTTTGTTTGTGTTGTAAACAAAATTTGGCAGGTGAGCTATAGGAGGGAGGGGGATGTGGAAAGAGATGGAGAGAGGAAAAGGGATTTGGAGGAAAGAAGAGGTTCAGGATGGACGTTTAGATATTGCATTGTGAGAGAAGAGATTTGTTAAATCGATAATGAGTGCAGATTAAAGAGCAGATAACACAACGGTGGTAAATGACAAACAGCTTCACTTTCACAAGATCACCTGTTAAGATTGTTTTCGGTGGAGTAACCTGATATTTCCTCCTCTGAGTGTTTTATTCAAACACTCCCATGAACTTTGTGCTGCTGTGTAATTTTGCCTCTGAATACGGTGAAGATAATGTAAATGTCTTCACAGAAAGATGACAATTTGGTTCTTCGTCTGGTGGCTTTTAGAAAGCAGGGACATTTAAATGTAAAATCTGATTAAACTGTCCAGGATTTGTAAAAATGTTGTCTTCAAGAAGGTTAAAGATTACCCCGAGCATCATGACTTGTAATACAGGTCTTTCCTACTCGGGTGTTTTGAAGACATTCTATATGTAACCAAACCTTTTATAGCCTCAAGGTTTGTGTAAAAGTTACAGTTATGTAACCGCCCTGATAACAAGAGCTGAGACAAGAAATTTCCGAGGGGATAAACGTCTTCAATGCATTATGTCACCATGTAAACAAAGCCTGTAATGGTGTGGTGGTATTTCAACAGAAGGAATCAAGGATTTGACCTTTGATCTCTGCCAGTGTATAAGTTGTTCTTCCACTCTGGCTTGTTAAGAATCGTGTTTATAATAAAGTTTCAGGCCAACTTGAGGAACCTACAACAACGTTTTTCCTCTTTCATTCATTCTCAACAAGCCATAAAGATAGTTTAGTTATGTAAACAAATGGAAAGACTGAATTCTAGGAAAGGAAGCAGGAAAACGTGAGGAAAAATGGAAACAAGTTGGACTTTCTTTACACTCTACACTCTACCACCATATGGTCTTTTATTTTCTCAGTGTTTGTGTCACAACAGCGGAGCGTGTTAATGAAGCATTAGAATGAATCACCACCTGGCCTGTGTGCTGTTGTTATCCAGACACACCCCGCTCCCTGGAGAGGCCCAGACCTGTTCAGAGAGAGACACACAACACCGCAGAGGATTTGGTAGGTGTGGTAGCACCTTGGCATGATAGATTAGATAAATAGATAAATAAGACATGCAGGAAGTAACGAGGATAATGACAGGGAGGCAGGAACTCTGTGCTGGAGATGAAGGGCAGTTGTATACCCACACCGCTAAATGAAACATGGGTGAATGGGTGAGTGCATTAATGGATCCTATATCCATTTCATTTTTAAACTAAATAAAACGCTGCTAATCAAGTGCTCCAGAGAAGAAATCAAACTATATTACCACGGTCCAACTCAAGCAGATTATTTTGTAAGGGCTTCAATTACGCGGATACTTTTCTAACAGCGGCTATCCCTACAGCTGCAGCCGGGCATCACAATAGATTATCTGCCCCACAGCGAGCTCTTTACCTTTTGAGTCATGCTGACGAAGGCAAGATGTGGAAACGGTGGTGAGGAAAGATTATTACCACTGCAGGCCATGTTATTTGTACCAACTTGTCCCTATGGAAGAAAGGTGGAATTTCACCAACTTGTTGTGTAACCATTAATCTCCTTAGTATACTTATTCAATCTTACAGCATGCAAGCCAGAACAAAGACACTGTGTTCAACACTGTTTCTTCCCTTTTTTTTATGTACATTTGAAGTCAAGTGTTTGTGATAGTTGCAAGACAAATGAGCACGTTGACGCAAATGCAGTCACAGGGAAACGCATTATGCGTCTGGTAACCAGCAGCAAGACTAAACTAAGCTGATGTACAGAGGTCTGGCGGACATATGGGGGCACTAGTCTGTTACTGACTGTCTTTCAGCCTCCTCTCCAGTAAAGAGAATGACTTCTTGTTTTCAACATGTTGAACATGAAGACGTTTAGTGACTAGTGCCACCTGAACCAGTTAAGCCGTCTTATCACAGTTTTGTCGTTTACACTTCCTGAAAGGTTGGGACATCGACCAATCTTCGTAAAGCCTTTGCCAATTTTATTTTGACTTCCCAGAACAAATTTGTGTATGTTCTCACGCGCAGTACAATGTGAATTGTGCAACAACTTTCAGCTTACATTTTCGATGCACTGCTTTGAGTTCAGCCCCTCTGAGTTGGTTGTAATCTGCAGCACCAACTGTAGTAGAAGCAGTCCCACTGAATGGCCTCTCTGTCTGCACTGAGCCTCGTTGTGTGTGTGAAACTGGAAACAATGGGTATCCAATGAGACAGGAGCCGTGTTCCTTAGTTCTGAGCTGCCGTTAGAGGGGGAGGACTGCAGGGGAGAGGCCTTTTGTTTATGTGCTTGTGAGTGTATGAGAGAGGAAGGGGGAGGCATTAGAGATAGGTAGGGTATAGATATGAGTGTTCGGGCACACATTCTGTCTTTGTTTGTTTTGTTGTTGTGGCCTGTGTGTAGACGAGAGACCAGGCGGGTAAAACCCTCCGTATAATTAGTCTGTTAATCCAGTTTTGAGCTGTGTTAGAAGTTCGGAGATGCATGTTTTAGTGAGACCGAGGCCAGCGAAGCAGCCACAACTTTCCCTCTTACTTTGTCCCCTTAAATGTAGTCTACAGAGCTTTTAGCCTGCATGGAGCCCATGATTGAAACCGCCTGAAACCCTTTTCTCCTGCTTTGGGTTTCTCATGATTTATTATCACTATATCTTATTCTTTCTTTGATATATTTGTTCACAGAGCTTTGGGTGCAAGACTGAATGAAGGCACGGCAATACAGAACTTTCTAAGTCACTTCAATTGCTTTGAGGAAGTATTCCATTTTTACTTCAAAGCTGGGTCTTACCTACTGAGAATGCAGTACTTTGTAAGTGTTTATTATGTTGTCTGAGCTTTTCTAACGTCTCTCATTTCCCCGGTCTGTGTGTTTTGTGGGTATGTGTCACACGGAAGCACACGCATGGAAAATGCGTGTGTGTGTACAAACCCATGCTCCAAAGCTCAGCCACACCCTGCTCATTATGTTCTCACCCAGAGGAAGCTGTCCACACAAACCGTGTAATATTCACATTATATGCATCTTTGGTGAGGCCACCTATTTCCTCTTTTCATCCCGTTTGCCTCCTGCTATATCCACATCGGTCCCCTTTATTGAAGACAGAGCCTGGGAGTAGCCTATCTTAAGCACCAGAGGGCAGGAGAGAACCACGCTGAGACTGAGGATAGTTACTGGGCCTGGGTAACTTTTCACATGTACATGGAAATTTACCCTCCACTTATAAGGCAACTATAGGCAATTTAAACACGTTTGTTGTCATTTTGCACATAGCATATATAAATCTACATTGTTTTTCCTTTTAAAATGTTTAACTTAATGTCCTTATACTCTACCAGAGGGGTAATCTTGGTATAAATATAAATCCAACCTTAATCTAATATTATATTCTGTCTCCTGACAATTAAAAAAACAAAACAATGTAGATTGAGGGAAACCACCATCTTTGTCAAAAAAAAGAAAAAAAAAGATTACAAGCAAACGTTTTCCCTTCCCTCTCTTTTCATCTAACCTTTTATTTTTCTCACCTTCACGCTCTGATGTCTTCAAATATTCGCTAAAATATTTTTTTTATATACTTCTCTGCTATCACTATATTAGTCCTGCAGGGACTCACACCCCGTGATAAAGTTATACTAATCTCCTCAGTTATCGCTTCTATATTCCTAGAGGTACTTCATGCAGCACCTCAATAACCATACCTTTTAATATTCGGTGTCAAAACTACAGCATTTGGTCTTTATTATAGGCCACTCTTTTGTTATACCTCCCTGCAAAGTCAACATGGGATGGCTGCAGCGCTTTGGGTGTCCGGATGTGTTTGGAGAGACTGATCTTGCACGTAAAACTTCCCTGATATTTGAGGCGCTCCAGGGATTTATGGAGCATGCCCAGTGCGCTCCTCTCAGCTCCAGAGCAAACCGCTGGTGCAGCGCAGGAGTCATACCGAGCATAGCCTGCGTGTCAGTGCAGTCGACTTACAGCTGGCTGTGAGGACAACTGACGCTACTCTTCTGTTGCTCTTTTATCGCCGCGATACATTTGACCCATATATTCTTTTTTTTTTTTTTTGGAAAAAGTATCCTTGGCTCGCTGTCAATACTCTTCGGGTTTAATTGTATTAAAGTGGTTTCTAGAAAACAAAAGTTGGAGGCTGGGCCTTTAGCTTTTTGACCGTCGCTTGAGAGTTGAAGAAGGAAGAAAAAAAAAAAAAAGAAAGCTGGTCTTTTTTTTTTGGGGGGGTAAAAACTCGATAAATGCTTCTAACGAAAATGGACCTGTTGAACTACCAGTACCTGGACAAAATGAACAACAACATTGGCATTCTCTGCTACGAAGGTAAAGTGAACGGTTTGGCCGGTTTGTTTTTAAAAAAAATACTCTGAGTTAACCGTTAGCGACGTGGTGGAGCGAAGTTTTCACTCAACTCACCGAAGCTTAACGTTTAGCTGTTACTTTCCACGAGCCCTGCAGAGAGAAGTTGTTGCTTTCAACACATGTTGATTAATTTAGCTTTTAACGACTTATGAATATGGAGTTAAATGAGTTACAACCCTTTCAACTGTTTGAACTTGGTGCTAACATGCTATTGGAAACATTAACTTATATTTCCCATGGAGCGTAGTTTCATCCGTTAGCAAGGTAATTGCATGGCTCTCCTCCTATGGCTGGTTCCCACTATATTACTCACGGTAGTTGCTCAGTTATTCTGAGTTTTTACTGTCTATTATTCATATCAAGCTCTTGCATTCCTAACGTTGTGATATATGTGGTAAAATGTGTGGTTTTTGCTGTATCAGGATGTGACAATATCTCGCGTATTGACACGGTGTGTGTAGTGATTTGACCCAGTTGTCTATTAGATAAGGGCTGGTATTTATCCTTCTCTTCTTCTCTTCTTTGCTCTTGTCTTTTTTTTTTTTAGCATGAGCAGTGTAGACTTTCTTATTATGTCATGAACACACAGAGCAGAAGCTCATTAGCAAAGTGACTGACTATTGGAGTAGTGTAACTCTTGTCCTGCAATCAGTGCTCCCATGTATGTAAAATATTTTTTGGGGGATTAATATAAGTTGTGTCCTCTGGTCCTGATTTCTATCACAACATGCAGAAATCAACTCCAGCACTGAAAAGAAAACAAGTCTACTCAAGTCAGCTTTTTGTCATGAACTGCAACAAATGCACAGGAGCTAGTAGTAACAAATGTTAGGATTGTTCATTACAGACTGATCAGCAGGCTTTCTTTTCATCTCCTCCCTCCCTCTCTGCTGCTGTGCCACAGTTAGCAGCTCTTCTCTACATGTAACATATCATGAACTTTTAATAGCTCTGCTATTAAGACTGTGCGACTGAAAACCAGTTTTGCAGATTTGAGGGAGGGTCACAGAGGCAGTTTGGCAGGTGGCCAAGTGCCATTTTATAGGAGCAAGTAGAAGAAACATGTTTTTTTTTTTAAGTGGTTGAGCATGTGATTAATGGTCTCTGTCAACAGAGCTGTACTGTTGTCTGTTTCACTGCTTTGTGGGGGGGGGGGGGTGTTGTGTTGCAATTCCTGTTTGACCCAAAATGATTGCTCTTTTAGGCATGTGACTTTTCAAGTTTTGAGAAAGATCATTCTTCAGTGCAGTGATGGTGCAGCAGATATGAGGGGTTGAAGTCAATCACAAGGGTTTTCTGTATTACTGCAAATCATCTTTCTCAGGTGTAATCCTGTCTTTCTCAGTGAAGTGAATTTGGGAGGATGCTACTTTTTTTTTAGTGGTGTTTCTATACTTTTATATCCTCTGGGTGTCTCTTGTAGGTGATGTGTTTGGACACAATGCTTTATTTCTACCTTAAGCTCATCGCTACATGATTAGCCCATCTACTGTATTGGTTCTTCTGTTTGTTTTTTATTGTGTGTGAGTGTTTTTTTTAGCTGACTGAGCTAAAAACTGACTCCATCACATGCCCCGCGATAAGAAAACAAAGATAAATGAAGAGGGAAAAGAGCCAACCCTGGAAAAAAAGAGTGAAAGAAAAGCCGTTCATGTTCAAACATGTCGAGCCAAGAAGGGGGTTGGATGAGCTTTGTGATATTGTGGGTGTGCTGACTTGTTGTTGTATGCATGAGCACACATACTCACAATACATTCCCCGTCAAATAAATGCTCATATATACTGGTGCTTCCTTTTGTTTTTTGAAACCTTCACACTGTTGTTATCGTCGGCATTTATTCGCAAGTGCAGTTTAGGGATGCACTGATCAAGTACTTTTGATTCGCCGATACCGAGTACCAATATGAGTACTTAATAATACCGTTACAGTTCTAAAAGTAACATTGAAAACATGTTTTAGTTTCATTAGATGTTCTTTGCTTTCTGATTTATAACAAATTCAATATACAACATGATGCTGGTGCTGACATTTTAACATTCAACATGGTGCTTTCATGATACAAACAGAGTTAGCTGTTGCTGACTTTGGGGCTAACCCCCTTCACCATGATCATCAGCTGGCTGACATGCAAGACACGGGAACTTAACTTGGGTCTCCTCACGACAAACACCCTGTGCACATACTGCACTGCTACTGTAGTGACCATGAGTCCCGTGCTTCAGCTGCTAACTGATGTGAAACGTTACGACATGAATTCAGAAAAAACATACACAACATTACCAATACTCTGTGTCCATAGTGAGTATCCATCACTTCCAATGAGTTTTATAACAAACAACCGCCACATCGTGTTAACGAAGCACAGTCAAAAACTAACGGTGACACCTGCGATTAGTGGCATGTACTTAAATAATTGGCTTTATCAAACCACCACCTAGTGCTTTGAGGCTTATTACTCTTTAACACAAATCCTCCTCTGATCAGGTCTTGTGTGTTCATACAGTTTGTGACAAAATACTAATTAGTTTGAGCATCGGGTCAATTCTTGGAATGATGTGAAATGGAATACAGCAAGCATCTAAAAGCAAGAAGCCTTTCATCGACGCCTGTTCTTCTGGGGCTGATGCGTAGACAGTCAGTTATTATAAAGACATTGATCCACACTGTGACTCTTCTTGTGCATGAATGCAAAATTGAACAACATTAAGAATCAGACATTGGTGTGTATAGGTGACAGTTGAAAGAAAGGTTGGTAGTAAATCCAGATGTGTTACTTTGGTTATGGACCCATTCTGACATTAATTTGACTGACAAAGTTAAGTTTAAAAACCAAACTGTGACTCTCAACCTTATCCTGTGTGCCCTTTAGCGCCCAGTATATCATACATTATTACATTGTTGTGACAGTAATTGACGAAGGAAGTCCATTGATATAATAATAAGACGTGCGTCATTCCAAACAATTGCTCCAATCTCACACCAGCTGATTGCTCTCATTTAATTTCAAACTATTGTATTTCCCAACCACATTATACTGTGATGTCGACTTACATATTTGAAAATGGCTGATTTTAGCCAGCTGGGTAATCGATTTGGATATATATACATATTAGAATCTGTGTAATATGCAATGTTTTCTCTTTCTCCATCAGTCCGTCTGTTCATGCGTCTCTCTCTCTCTCTCCAGCTCTCCCTTTCTGTTTCTGTAAAGCTGCTATCAGTTGTAGGCCTGCAGGGTGGGAGGGGTGCCGGGGAATGCTGACTGTTGCTTTTTGCTGCTGAGCGCTGGGAAATAAACGAGGTTGAAAACCTCCTTAAGGCCATCTACTTTTGTAAATGTCTACTCCTCTTTGTCTGTCTGTCTTGCTCTCCTTTTCTCTTGTCTGTCAGAGATCAAACCAATCTGACATCCGGTTTAAAAGTTCAGCTCACACAGACAAGAGCTTTTTTTTTTCTTTCTCTATGTCCTTTTTAAGCGTTTAAAAGCCTAAAACCTCAATGGACTTAGAAAAATACAGGCAACCCAGAGGGCCAAGTTCAGGTTACAGAGAAACTGAGCCAAAAGTAACCGAGCTGCTGCTTTGCAGAGAGAGAGAGAGAGAAGAAGAGGGTATGCTCCGACTCATCCTTTTTTAAGTACCTCAAGGGGAAACGGGAGAGAGGGAGAACATGAGAGGGAAATGAAGAGATAGAGGGGTTGACCTCTTTTTGTAATCCAATCTCATCCTGATTCCAAGCTGTTTGAAGTTCTGTCAAGAGAAACAGGCTTTGATCACATGGACCTGATGAGCTGAGAGGGCAGAGAGTGGAGTCTTACTTCTGTACTGCAGCTCTACTTCCACTGATTGTCTGCTCATTGAACAAAACAAATGACGTTTTATCGAAATATTGCAGTGTCCTTTATCTAATGAACAAATATGTATACCAGATAGAGTCCTTTCTCAGTTTGGCGTTTTGTGCTTCTACCTATTTCTACAGTTTATTTTGCCTGCTGCTGTGTGCACATGTCATTAGGTTACAATGATATGTTTACATTTTACTGTTAAAATTCTGTATTGGTGGAAGAGGCATGACTCACACAGGTTAGTTTTTTTTTTTTTTTAAAGTAAATCTATACACTCAGTTTCCAGTTCATTAGGGATCCTTAGCTAGAACTAATGCAGTCATCTCTGAATGTAGGATTCATTGCAAGGCTGCAGTAGTTTTAGACAGGAACACCTAACTGGTACCTGAGTGTACTGTTGCTCAGGCTAACTGTTGCGCAGCAGTTAGGTCTTGAGTGTTTGACTCTAAATGGCCAGATGTCCCGTTTGTTCTCAGGGATTCTCCCCTTGTTGAGCACTTCACTCCTGAACCTCTAACAAGCCGCTATGGGTCCTGGATCCTGATTGGACCATGTGGTGTCACAGTCTCCCTTCTTTTTATTGCCAGCCCTCTGTCCTGCCAAAAACAATGATGTCACCCTTGTTGCCATGGTACACTGCAGGGCTAGCAGGAACATGCTAGGGGGAGGGGGGGAGCTGCTGCTGTGTTTGGGAGGCCGTGCTCAAACTAAACATACATAGAGGTACAGTGGAGGAATAGACCACACCAGCACAAAGCCTTTTCATTGTGTGTGTGACTTAATGATACAGTTGTTTACGACCGCATGCACCCAAAAAGTCCCTGTTGTCTCTCCTCCAAAAGAACTCTGTCCACTCTAGCTTACAGGAAACTTCCTCGAGTGATTTACAACATGAATGCAGTGAACAAACAGTACAGTATTGTGCTGCTAGCAGTGTTTAAAGTATCACTTTTGTTGGGAAATAAACACCATTTATTTAGATCCTCACAATCTATGTATTACTACGTTGTGCCTTTTGGTTTATTCATGAATGCCTGTCCAAATTGTAAGTTGAGTCATTTGTAATAATAGCAGAATAAGCACAAACATTAAACATTGATGTGTGTTAATCCTCCCAATGCTTGAAGAATAACAGCATTTGTAATATTAAATTAGTTTAAAATTCAACGGGGAAAAAACACTTGGTGTTGCTAAAAAGTATGAGAGTAGTTGTGGAGAAAAGTGCCTGTAGGAATGGGTTTCTTTTACTCTGGGCTTTATGTTTTGTTTGGGGAAAGTCAGACGGATGCATGAGGTTGAAGCAGTGGAAAGTCCCCGAGCTGAGACGGAGCCAGTGGTAGTTTTCCTGATTCTCTCTTGCTCTTACTCCCACTCACCCACGGCTCTGTAGGCCTCCTGTACCGGGACAAGACTGCAGGTTAGCAGAGAGAAATAGTTCACACACCACATTTAAACGTATGCAGAAGCCATCCACAACTATTTCCTCCAAAACATTACTAAACCAGATACTCCAGTTTATGCCAGAGGTTTGCGCCTTACTCAGCAAACTGTACAAGTCAACACAAATTCAGAAGTTTGAGCAGGAACACAGCATGTATGGTAACGCTGTCATGAAGTAGTGTTTGTGGTCAGCGTGTTTAAAGTGGCAATAAAACAGTTGCCTTCTACTTGAAAATACTATAATTTTGACTAATTACCATAATTGTACACCCATGGCTAAGCACCCTTTTTTTGGAAGTGTAAGCATGTCAGTTGACAGGAACCAGTTCATACTCAGTCATGTTTTGAAATGACCAAAAGTATTCAAACTTAATTGTACTGTTGAAAGTGTTTTGATTGTGCTGGTGCTACACTTTCCATTAAGTATATCTTCCTCTACGCTTTGAACTCTAATAGAGGTTCAACATCACTAAATACTCTCTCCCCTCTTGTATCTTGTCTCCTCTTCTCAGGTGAAGCCGCTTTGAGGGGGGACCCCAGACTCCAGTCCCTGTCTCTGTCCTCTTCCTCCTCCTCCTCCTCCTCTTCGTCCTCGTCCTCCTCATCGTCCTCTTCCCTCTCCAACCACAGGACGGGTCCTCCTCCCATCAGCCCCACCAAGAGGAAGCTGAGTGGGGACCAGGGGGACAGCGACATGGACGACAACGAGCACGTTGCGAAGATGAGCCGACTGTTTGCCGCTCAGCTGTGAGTACAGAACACTGAGAAACACTTTCTAACAGACGCCATTATAGGCTCGGAAGATATGACGAGATTATCGTTCAACACAATGTTGGTTGGTCGTGATAACGGTCCTCACGTGTCCACGATAAAGGAGCGTAATCCATTATACAATGCCTGTAATTCATTTTGCAACATAACATAGCCATGGTTATGGCAACATCCCAACATCCTTAATCACTGCACCCTTCTCTTTTCTGTCTCTCACTCACTCACTCACTCACTCACTCACTCACTCACTCACTCACACACACACACACACACACTATGTGGCCATTGAAGAGGCCCCCTTGCTGCCGAGAAGCTACATACGCACTACCGCTATCGTGTATGCCAGGGTTTCTGTTGGCCATGTGTTTTGCGGGCTCCTTGCTTGTTGAAGCTGTGCACAGACAGACAGGCTTTCTCAGAAGTCCCAGTTTGGACTCCAGGGTGCTATGCCAGGTTTAGCTGGCTCCATGCTGTTCTTCTTATAGCCACACGTCTCTGGAAGCTTGGAAACTGGGACTGCACAACAGAAAGATTACTCACATCTATAAAGTTCCCACATTCCCACTTCCAGAGATTCCGGGGATTCTGGGGCACTTACTGGCTGTGAAGGGACCTGTCTCAGTTCTTCTCAGTCATGGGACTCCAGCCATTGCTATTTCTTGTGGAGGCAGGCAAGGAGATGTTAGGTGGAGCTGTGCAGTTTAAAGTAATAATAATTATATACAAGTAATATTATGAAGTCATGTTGTTTTTGCTGCCCAGTCACGTTTATGGTACTGCTTTTCTTATTATTAGCATTCTATTATATCAGATGATCTCGTGTGTTCTCAGTCTCATCTTGTGATTTGTGGTATTGGGCTATACAAATAAAATATAATTGAATTGTTTCGCAGTCCACACGGCTGTGAAATGACACAATGGAACACAGTGGATGATATGCTGGATATACTTGAAGCCCTGGATTAAGAGTGGAGCACAGTTACTGGCAGTGTGTTGTGTGGTTAAGCGTGTGTAAACACACATGTGTCGTACATACTGTCATGTGTTCACGCTTGCACAAACACCTGCTGCACATTAAGCAAATAGTTTGATTGAAATCACTGTTGAAAACCAAATTCTTCTGAGTGACAAACACTTCCCACATTTAGATTGTAAAGGTAACTTTTAAGTGACTGGTTATAAATCTATCTGCTCACTGGCCTGTGTCCGAGTACAGGGATTTATTTTTGTTTCACAGATATAACTCTCTTGACTTCTCGTGGCACAGGGGGAAGGGTCTCTGTTCCTTCATCTTGTGACCGTCTGGGCTCGCATATCAAAGGATTAGCTCGTGTGTCTTGACATTTGTGCCGAGTCATCTTGTTTTTCTGTTGTGAATGTGTCAGTGGCGGGAGAATTAACATTGTTCTCTTCAACCAGGCAGTGAATCGATCTGACCATTTGGTGTTTTATTCCGTTGTCTCCGTTATTTGTCACTCTCTGTGAGATATTTGTTTTTTTTATGCACAGTGCGGGTAACGTCTGCTTACACTGATAAGCAAAAAAGCTCCGACTCGTGTGTCCACGAGTTGGATTTTATTATGTAAGTTGCTCTGCCGTAGTACAATGGGACTTATTGTCATATCAGCTTTCGGTTAGTGTCGGAACTCCTCTAAATGCAACCACTCTGTGGAGTTACACTTCGATTTAAGACTTTTCAAACTGCTTATTGTACCATGATCATTTCCTAGAAGTAACACATAATAAGCCTCAATCCCCTTGTTTAATCTTCACTTTAATTATGACCGTGGAGTTATTTGACTCTAGGGCCTGCAGGTTAATCTCTACCCAAGAAAAGTCAATTGCTAGTTGACTTGCTGCAACTTGAAGTTAAATCCAGTGCCTTCATCAAGATATACATCTTTGAAACCCATTTCCCTTCCGGCCATCCTAGAGGTATATTTATATATTTATTGTTATCATTTAATTTGAGGTTTCTCTGAGGGCATTCTTTCCCTGGTAAAGATAGCTGCTCAGTGAAACCTGCAGTAAGTCAGCTTGAACTATTGTGTTTGTCCAAAAAACAGTGATTACACTAAAGTGGAGAGAATGATGGGTGGGTGTTACAAAACACAGTCGAGCTTAAAATAGTGAGTGTTTTATAGAAAACATTGTAGGGGACTTCACGCTCAACTCACCTTTATTTAAAATGCATGAGCTTCCTGCTTCATTCAACTCATCCGTCAATCGTAGGAATAGTGATTAAGTTTAATTTGAAAAGGATGGACTTGTTTCTTGGGGAGGGGAAGAAACTAGACAGAAAACAAGAAAATGAGCACTGTATACACACGCACGCACGCACGCACACACACACACACACACTCAATTAAAATGTCCAGAGATGGTTATCTGACACCCTTCTAGCTGTTGGATTCTGCGGGCTGCTTCTATCTGTGTAGCTTGTTTTTTTAGTTTGCACTGATTGCTCTTCTCAGTGTTGCCTATTCCTGCATGTTTAGGGGCTTTTGTGTTCATTCCTCCTCTTAAACAAAAAAACACATTTTCTCTGTTATGCTTTAGCGGCAGTTTTCCTGTGCACTGACTGCTTCGGTTGCTATATAATGTGTGTTGTTGTCGAGCTGCATGTAGTTGGCTTTATTTTGTGTCATATTTTGGGTGAGTAAACATGCAGACAGACACCTGACACCTTAGACGTGAGGTGGGGTTATGAAGGAGGAAGCTCGGGTTTCTGTTGTTGTCCAATCACAACAGGCTGAAGTCAGGGGGAGGCACAGGCTGTGGTGAGAGGAAACAACATTCTGAACCGACTCGATCTTTCTTTATCATGTGGGGCAGTATTAACAGGCGCGATAAATGAGCGGATTTTCTCTTTTGTCAACAGCCTGTGTATTTAAGGATGTGGTTGTGAGTGTATTTCTCTCAGCCGTCTTAGTGTTTTAACAGTGAAGTCACTATTGCCTTACAGAAAAGTTTATGGCATGGTAAATTCTGCAGATAAAAGTCAGCAGCAGTCCTACTGCCAGGCTGATATGTGGATGTGATCTCCCTGTTTGTGCTGACTCTGCATGCGTTTGTGCAGGTATGCACATGTGTCGTACTGTGAACTGTCCATACGCACGCGCACGTGTGCGAGTGTGTGTGGTGAGAGGGCTCCTTGTCAGGCAGCAGGGGCTACTTTCTCATTTTCTCTGAGGAGTAGGAGGAGTCTGGAACAAAGAAGCCTTATCCTGTCCACTGGAGCCTGTGGGCTGGAAGCTTGCTGCTGCCTGCTCGCCTACCCGCCGCTCCGCAGTTGTAGACCCGCCAGTATAAAAGTCCTCATGCTCAGCTGTTTTATTCCTCCTTAAGAATAAGAGCCAGTCGCAGAGCAAGGTTAAGACTTTGTAATTGGGGAATAGAACTGCAGGGAAGTGTATTTGCAGCAGCCCGGTTACATGTGACTCAGTGGGCACTGGGTTTGTTGATTTCCTCAGGGAACTATATCAGAATTAAGAATTTATTGTAATATTGTGAATTATTTTGTTTAACTTACCAATGACGCATACTAACTGACCCTTTACTAAGTCCCGCCCCTTGAACGTTGACTGTCGGATTATAGTGTGGCATCGGCTGCTTGGTTTTGGGAATGGTTAAACGTTGTGCCTGGGGCACGTGTAATAGTGATACTTGGGTATGTCAGCACATAATAACTCGCATAAGCACTTCTATGCTAGCTACTGAAGGTAAACGGGATGTATATACATGCTGCTTTGGCTTTTTAATAGTGAATAACGATAAAAGCTCAATCCAATTTAGTCAGTTTGCTGCAGTAAGTACTGTAGCACACAGACACTGCAGCTGCTTTCTACTGGGAACTTCATCAGCAAGTTGTTCTCATGGAAGTTTCCCCATAGGCCAAGTAGGGGAAAAATCAGAGAGGTGGAGTTAGAGAGTGTGTGTGTGTGTGTGTGTGTGTGTGTGTGTGTGTGTGTGTGTGTGAGAGACCAAGCCAGGTGAAGTCATTATTACCCCCTTGTTTTACGTGTGTGCGCATTAGAGAAAAGGAGGATGTGGTGTTTTTTCTTCTTCTCTGTGTGCACGTGTGTTCTCATGTTGTTTTCTTTGCCACCTTGTTGTGGTTGTTCCCATATCCGATCTGTCCCAGCTTTGATAACAAAGGATGTTCTTCAGTTTTCTTTCTCTGCAGGCCGTTAACTGTCAAATATGTGCTTGATTCCTATCAGTATTCATGCATTAGTGGAAGTCTGAACGATTTTAAAACGGCTGTGTAAAGAGATGTTTGAAAATGATGCAACGGTTTATGTATTAAGTGTAATACACATTCTGTTAAGGTGAGTTTACCTTGGGGTTTGACGTTTCTATTTTAAAGGATACAGATATTGCTAACCTAGGCATAGTCCTGCTACTAACTAAAACATGGACTAAGCAGAGTAAAATGTGTAGAGATGTTTGTATACTTTATATACATAGCCTGGGTACGCCCTGTGGCTCACTGAGTGTGTGTGTCTGTGTGTGTGTGTGTGTGTATCCATTTTGTGGGTTTGTACAGACCTCGCAGAGCTTGGGCCTGGTTGTAACCTGTGGTTGAGCCTTCATCCTCCTCTACTTTTTTTTCTTTTTGGTCGTCGTCTCCTCTTTACGCCCTGATTCTTCCCAGATGTTTCCTGTCTCTCTCTCTCGCTCTGTTCTTGCTCTTTATTTATTTCTTAAAGGAGTCCGATATGAACCTCTGCCCAACCAAAGATTTATTGTGAGGTTTTAGAACACAATTGTGAGAAAAGTCATAGAACTTTTGTAGCTCCTGTATGTTTGCCTCAAAGTAGAATATAGCTAACTCACTAAATTGGCAGTCTGCTATAGAGCTAAACCTGGAATACAAAACCATATTTTTAAAGCCTTCAAATTCATATGTTTATATTTGTTTTAATTTCATTTTCCACTTTGGCAATTAGGCAAGTTGGCTTATGCAAAGCTGTGAGAACAAATGACAAGTATTCCAATTCTAAGTCATTCAAACACGTGATCACAGTCCTGATCTCTAACTTGAGGTTACCTTGAAGACAGAGCGTCATGTGAATGATTCCTTTACAGGCTGACGGATCTGACTGCTTCAGGATGTATGACTATATCATTTATGTGTTGAGGTCTGGACTCTCTGGGTTTCTAAATGAAAGCCCACAACAGTGACTGACTACAGCTAATGACCAGGCTACACAACACAGGCTCTAGTGAAGTAGAATCACATGGATATCTACTCTCTACGAGCTCACTTGTTTTTAAATTTATTTTTATTTTTATAATTAAGTGATTTCCCACATAGCTCTAGTAGGCACCGAGTCCCAGAGTTCACTACTTTTCCAAGTCCCTCTCTCCATCTCTTCCCACTCTTCTAGCTCTTATCCAGTCCCCTAGCCCCAGACCTGGCAACCCTCTCTCTTCAGCTCTCGCCCCTCTTACCACCCCCGTACCCGTGTCTCATGTGTAGCCCTCACCCCTCTCTCCCCAGCTGCGACCCCCAGCAATAATTGAGAGGTGAGTAAGAGGGACAAAGACACAGGGGTATGTTTTGAATGCCTGATCCCTGGCATGACATGCGGTCCCCGGGTTTTTGGTGGGCAATCAGGCGAGTGGAAGGCGGGGGCGGCGGTGGACTCGACAGCGAGACATTCATTGGTCGGATTTGTTGATCCCGTTCACTGGCTCCTGCAAAGGCCCCTCTTGTGTGAGTATGTGGGCATGCCTACTCTTTGGCAATGATTAAAGTTTGGGACAACTTCCATAACCCAACTCGAGACCCAGCTGTACGAGAGGGGGAGTGCTTTATTACTATTGCCTCTTAGCTAATCTGCTGCTGATTGTTTACATCTGAAGATAACCAAGTTATACAGGAGGACTTTGGTTTGGGGAATCTTATTCAATATATTCATTATTATGACCTGATGTTATGTGATTAACTCCACAATGCATTTACTCTTTGACTATTTGATAAATAACAGAAAACTGATGCCACTGTGGGGAAACACAAGAGCTAGTCGTCCGGGGTTTATAAAACCGCTGCCAAGTCTCTCCTTCTTTAACCCTCAGGAAGTTTGCTGCCGATTGTGAGAGAAAGAAAGAAAAGAGAGAGAGAGAGGGGGGCGGGGGGGGGGTTCTGCTAATGTAGGCGCTCGGCACAAACGAAGGAAACTACTGACCTCACTCTTTCTTATAGTAGAGGTCCGGCCCATTCACATGCAGCTCTCCTCAGCTCTTCCTCTCTCCCGCTCTGTATTCTGCAGAGACTATTTGTTTGTGGAGGACGCTGCTGTGGGCTCCAGATGCTTGACCCGGCAGTCAGGTTGCCTGGTCACATGGATTTACAACTGTTTGCCTGAACTTGTTGTTTTGCATCCGAACAAAACCTTAAAGGCCCGCTTTGACTTTTTTCACTCTCGGGTCTGTTTTGTATTCTCATTCAAGACTTTCTTCTGCAGAAATGCCTCCCTGTGTCTGGTGGAGAATAAAGGAGAAAGAGAGAATCTCATGTTTGAGTGCAGCTTATTTATAGTAAATGTCATACTTTTGTTTTCCCCCCCAATTGAGGCTTCTGTGTCTAATAGTGTATATATTTCAGTGTAGGAAGGAGGAAGGCAGACAGTATTCATTTGGGCTGTGGAGTTGGAGAGAAAAGAAGAGATAGCGAGAGGAGAGTAAATCCTGCTCCCTGTAACTGGGCCTCAAATTGTAGGAGGAGACTGGAGCTGCACTAAGGCTGTAATACACAGTTGAATACACACACACACAGACCACATTTGACGCACTGTGCAAAAAACAATTGCTACCTGTTAAACTGCAAGCAAGTGTGCGCAGTATCAAGCACCGCCACTTCACTACACACTGTATCAAACGTTTCATCATCGGAGCTGGAAAAAAAAAAAAGAGGCCAAAATCTGTGTCGTGTCAAACTGTCGTTACTTCAGCCTCTTATCCTTATCACTGTTTTTTCAACGATTAAAATATGAGCTCACGGTTTGCAGAGAACAGAGGGATCTCGCTGTGGTGAGAACTGATTCTCTTTCATGTGGAAAGTGTGTGGCCAGCCTACCTGCTTTCACCGTTGGTACTCAGTCCGCGGTAGTGAGTACGGACGCTGTGTTGTGGAACAGAAGAGTAAACAAACACACAAAGATGGATGTCTACTTCAGCAGATTAAGTCAAGTGTTGAGATGCAGTTTAGAGATAACTGCTGCATTAGCCCGGTCCATGTTTTCCTCAGACAGCACTGAGTGCAGCTGGCAGAGATCATGCTTGTCTCTGAGAGCTTTGTGCCCCTCTGTGCAGGGTTACGTTTGGAGTCTATCCATGTTGGATGAAGTTAGGAAAGTGTTCCTTCCTCGGCTTCACAGCAAAAAAGTGTGTGTGTGTGTGTGTGTGTGTCTTATCATGTGTGAGTTGAGGTTGGTATTAATAGCTTCTGCTGCTCCTGCAGTGTTTGACACAGAGCCCCATTTACAATTGCTCTTTTGTTTGTCTTCCCTCATCTCTCTCTCTCTGAGCCCCTCTGTATATGAATTCATCTCTCCACCGCTCATCCTTTTTCTATCACGACACAGTTTTCGATAACTTTGGATCAGGTGCCCTGTAATCCATCTTGCTTAAAATCTGTCTTGTTACTGAATTCAGAGAAGGTGTATCACTATTGGACTCCACCCCTAAAATAAACACACGACCCAATATTTGCCTCTCTCCCCTCTGTTCCCCAGGAAGCCTAATGGAGACTACCGCAGCTCTCCCATGTCTAAGGACCGGAGCCGGAGCCCCATCGAGCGCGTGGTGGTGCCCAGCACTCTGGGAGTTCACGGCAACCACCTGTACAGCCACGCCCACCACCACCACCACCACCATCACCACCTCGCCAGCTTAGCGGGCATGGACCAGCCGCTGGCGCTCACCAAGAACAGCATGGTGGAATCTGCACGCAGCAGCAGCACAGCAGCTATGGCCTCAGTGCCACACACAGTCAGCGCCGTGGAGCGCCAGCAGGTAACCTGCACTTCCTGTGTTATCCGGTTCTAGCACCGAATACATCGTTTGCGAATACATCGTTTGCAAATTGTTGGGTAAAACCTCAACTTGTTAGGTCGTGATGTGGGACAATGTGCTTTGAATAGCCAGTCTCCTTGGATGGTGGAGAGTACTAATGTCCCATTTGGTTTATTTGCCAAAACAGTTGTAAAACCCTGGTGGTCAATAAATCACTCGCTCTCCCTCAAGCTTTAAATCTCCCTTTAGTCTTTCTAAACACGAATGCTCTTTTTATTCACTCTTAACACAATTGTTTGTGTTGTTTTGGTGATTCCTAAATAACAACTTTGTGTTTCAGAATCGCCCTTCAGTGATCACATGCGCCCCAGCCAACAACCGCAACTGCAACCTGTCTCACTGTCCAGTCTCCCACAACGGCTGTGCAAGCCTCGCTAACAACTTCAGGAGAATCAACAGTGAGCGCACACATGCACAGACAGACACATGACATCGTAGCTTTTTATACACTAGTGCAGGGGTCACCAACCTTTTTTAAACTGAGAGCTACTTCAAGGGTACCGAGTAGTACGAAGGGCTACTTATTTGATACAAACTTCCTGAATAACAAAGTTGCACAGATCACCTTAATAATAATAACAACATATGTGAAGAGATTGTTTGATCACATGTCAGTTAATTATTCCTCACAATAATTATTAATAATGATTTCCACAACAATGATGGTATAGCTACACATACATATTTAAACATGCAACTTTTATTTCTGTTGATCTGTTTCAACATTTGAAAGTCAGAGGTATCGCATCTCTGATATTTTTGTATCATCACATGATCAAAGCCGGTTACTTTTGCACATAGCGCCTGCTGGTGAATGATCCAGTGGCAATGTAGAAATTTTGCGAAGTCTGGGTCACCTTTGCATTGCGCAATGAAGCCTGCATGCCGGCCCGTCATCGCGGGAGCCCCGTCTGTTGTCACCGACACCAGCTTTTCCAATGCTACCTTTTTCTCCACGACGAAACTAGTAAAAAGTCTCGTCTATAGCCGAGCGTCTTCGGGCGCCCGCGTTCAAACCTCTAGTCTGGGCCTTTTCGGTCGGATTGCCCCGCAGGCTGTTCCGAGGATTTACAGACCTGACGACGGGGTGCGCTCGCGGCGCGCGTCTGGCGCCAACGGGAAGCGCCCGCCACTCGTAACCTGAAAACCTAATGCGGTGCGGCAGCCTCTTGCTGGCTGTCCGCCGTGCGCCTCTGGGTCCCAACTCTCTTATGACAAGAAATATTGTCATTTTAAAATCTACACTAATGCAAGCGTTTTTGATTAAAAAAGAACAGCAACTAAAATGTTTAGACAGAGCTCCATGGTGACTAGTGCTATTTTTAGAACATGCCTTGCGGGCGACTCACGTGGTCCCCGCCGGCACCGTGTTGGCTACCTCTGCTCTAGTGTATTTGCTTTTGTTTATGGTAGAAGGAGCAGTGATGGATGAACTTATCTCGGTAAATAATTGGTACTAATTGTTACCAAGTAACCTTTACTGGGCACGAAAAATGAGTTTCCCATGCAGTGCAGTTTGTGGGAAACTTCTCTGTGAGCGCAAATCATCCTCCAGAGAAAACACAATCTCTGTGAGCGCAAATCATCCTCCAGAGAAAACACAACCGCTCATACTCTCAAACTCAGACTGACTTCTATAACTAGTGTTTTCTGTCTCAGAAGCCTTGTTGTGGTTCCTTCACTACCTCGTCTGTTATCTCTGTGCTGTAAAAGTCCCCGGAGGCCTCAGCCAAACACGCGTCTGCTCTATTCACGTCGGTCATGTTTTCTGTGGGTCGATAACTCAACTGTGGCCATTTTTTATGATCCCAGTGAAATCCCTGTGATCTCATTGAGGTTAACAGTGACATTTAAAACGGTGATTTAATATAAAAAAAACTGCAATGAAAAAGTGAAGTAGATGTCAGTTAGTATTTTTCCATTGACCTAAAATGCACATTACCAATGTTTGAACCGATGCTAGGCAATAAAGTGCCCGCTGAACTTTATATAAGTGTGTTTTAGAGATGTTTCTCTTTTTTTATTATGGGAAATATATAAACTCTCTCTCTTTCCTCTCTGTTGTAGCCAACACGGCCTGTGACCCGGTGATCGAGGAGCATTTCCGCCGCAGTCTTGGGAAGAACTACAAGGAGCCCGAGCCCACCGCCACCAACTCCGTGTCCATCACCGGCTCGGTGGACGACCACTTCGCCAAGGCCCTGGGCGAGACCTGGCTGCAGATCAAAAACAAGGGGAGTCCCTCGTCGTCGGGCAGCAGCCCAAACTCCTCCCCTGACAGTCACATGGTCAATCACAACCACTCCCCTTCTGTGGTCTCCTGAAGGAAGAAGGGTTTAAGAGGGGATCGCCCCTCTTTTCCCCGGCCCCTCCCAATCATCCCGGCTCTAACACACACACTTTGGTCTATCGCCAGCATCCCAGAGGGAATGCCTGCATGCTGGTCTGCTAAAAACATGTAAAACCCTCAAGCTCTCTCTCTCTCTCTCTCTCTCTCTCTCTCTCTCTCTCTCTCTCTCTCTCTCTCCTTCCTCACAGAGGATCAACGAAGCAATAACAACATGGTCCCCCCCCCCCATGTGTCCTCCGGTATGGTAATACCAGACAATAATCAGTAATGAGCGATGAGGGTTCGACTTTTGAGACTCAATAATTCATCATCCCTGCATGTCAAGCTTGGAGCTGAGCACCGGGTCTGTAGTTATATGTACATAAAGAGAGAGAGGAAAGGCGGTATTTTAATTATTAATTTTCTTCTTTTTAATTTTTTATTTTTTTTTGGGTTCGTTTCTTTAACAGTAGTTTTGTGTACTGCTTCTGCATTATGAGATGTCCGATATTTGAAAGAAAAGATAAGCGAGAAACACAAACCACCTGACTGTGCTACCAAAGAAACCTCAGACACAGATGTTTATCAGTGCCCACCTCCGAAAGAAAACAACGAAAAAGCATCTTGTAATCTCCCTCCGTTTGTACCTTCCTTCCTTCTCGCTCCTGTGTACGTGTGATGGTGGTTTTATTACTGTGTACCCTTGGTGTGATCTGCACTGCTGCCGTAGAGGTTAAAGGGTGGCATGTCAACATTGTAATCTGGCACTGCCCACACTGGGGCTGATACAGCTGATTTTGACCCAGCTTTAGTTGGAACTTCTATTAGATCCCATTAACTGTAATGTCACATCTACCAGAAAAGTACAAGCCACATTACTATGTATTCTTTTTGGAAAAATGGAAACAAATCATACCGGTTAAAAAAAAAAAAGAAGTTGGAGATGTGCTGAGTAACACAGCTTTGGATGCCATGTGTTCCGGTATACAGTGGATTCTGTCACATTGCTGCACGTTGGTCAGTGCAGTATGTCAACGACAAACAAAGTGCCACCGTCGGCTCTAAACTACTTAAATGTTGCATTTGATATTTACAAGCACAGTCAGGTTATCAGATCAGCCCCCGCCATTATGAGAAGAGATGAGCGCTGAACACACAGCTGCACGACCTGCAGTGTGTTGCTGAACAATGTGCTTTGATGTCTCTCACAGGATTAACTGCTGACAGCGATGAGAGGAGAGATGACTCTGCATGTCACTTTGTGGTTGGAAAAAAGAAAAAAAAAAAAGGTCTGGTTTCTGGACCGGGGGGAGAAGATCATTCAGATCTCTCGTGTCTCTTTGAACACAGGTGTTGTAATTATATTTGGCTTACACCCCGCTACCCCCCCGCCCCCCCCCTACACACTGTGGTTGGGTAGATTTCTGAAGGGTAAACTGATGCTTTTACAGATGCATGTGTTTTTTGTGTGTTTTTATTTTTTTTTTTTAATAGCTGGTATCTATTAATGTTTTTAAGCAGCATTTCAATCTTAACTACTTTTCCATTTGGACGTTAGTTGTTACTTTTTTCGTTGTCAGTAACAGACATAGACACTATACACTCACTGCTGGGTCAGTTGTACTCCGTATTATTATTATTATTATTATTACAATTTTGTATTTTTGTTTTCCATTAATATCGGTATGGTAACAGACTATAGTGGGACAGCCTCCGGACAGGCTCTGTTTAACAATGAGAGCTGCGCTTCTCCAAACCATCTCGGCACGGTGAGCGAAGAGCAGAGCGGCGGTCGCTTCAGTGTCCGGGTGGCTCCGGGACACGCAGCCGGTAACGGTTTTCTTAAGATGTTGATTCATCGGTGGTACAGGATGCTACAACCGTCAGCACGACCGCGCTGGGACGTCAACACGGCAGAGATTAGTCGACGGGGCCTTGTTCTCCTTCAAAGCATCTCAAGTGGTCTTTATTCTTGAGTCTTCTTAAAATATCCATCTTGGCACCAGCCGTAACACACATTCTTAAACCCCCCCCCCCCCCCGTGTGATGTCACAGCTCTCTCTACCTTCATCGGTTGACGTTTGGTGTCCTGACTTTTTTTTGTACTTCAATGCTTTCTTTTGTGAACAACATTGTATTGTTACTGCGGTTAAGCTTGACTGCTACAGTCTGACAACATGTTAAAGAGCCTGCGCCATGGCGGCATACATTCCTCCTATAGGGACCTTTGTACAGGCCTCTCACACACTCCGTATCTCAGTACCAACAGACGGCACTAATCACCAGTCGGGGCTGATTGTCCCAGAGTTCCCTGCTAACAGGGTTGTGTGTCCCTTTTGCTTTTCTTTGCATCAAGCAAACTGGCCATAAATTCATACCATATGATTAATGGGGGGGGAAAAAACAAACATTTCTGCTATAAATACTTACATTTGAAAGGACATTGGGAGCGTAGAACAGTGATGTGAGTCATTCTGTATCTACAGTACAGAATCACTTAACGTCTGAGCTGAGTCTGAAAGGTTCATGTTTAGCTTGTGATGGACGTACTCGCACCTGATACAAATGACCTAAACCAGAGTCCTTTAAATGGAACGCAGTCCGTGTTCTAGAACGTCCACACATTCCATCCTCATCTCAACACACGCGTGACGGATACAGAACTGTTTTTTCAATCAAAACACAACTGCCAGTGAATTAATTCCCAGAACGAACAAGTACTCTCAGTTTCAATGTGCTTTCTGTGAAAGGTTCAGAGTGGTTTGAATAGTGATTCTCAGCAGGCAGGTTTGGGGGAGCAGAGCCTCAGGAGCTGAGCTTCTGTAAACTAGACCTAAGTTGGGAGACTCAGATTCAGTTTGATGTAATAAGCAAAAAACAATCGGGGGGGGGGAGAGAGCTCAGTGTCCAGAGGATTTAGTTATTCTTCTTTCTCATTGTCATTTCACTACCACCCTGTAGGTAGGCGGCTCTCTTTCTGCTTCGGCAAACACTCCCTACACCCTGTAGGGAGATCACTTCAAATGAAAAAAAAAAAATACTTTTTTATAATAAGTAACTATAAGACCATCATTACGCTGTGCGTAACGAATGTACAGAGAAAAAAAATCGTAGGTATTTTTTTGAGGAACAATTAATTTGTTAATATGTAGCTATTTAATTGTTGTTTTTCCCCTGTCCTTATATTGTAATCATTGCATTTTCTTTTTTGTGAAAAAAAAAAAAAAAGTTGATCTTTTTTGTTGATAGTTTGTCTTGTCAGAGTAAAGGTTCAAGTGCAGGAACACAGTACACGTATGAAACCACAGTAAGCCACTGGTGTGTTGGTGACAATCGCTACTTCCATTGGTCCCCAGTGTTCCGCAGCCATGTAACTCGTCTTTGTGTCGCTTGTGAGACATCTGAACAAAGGAGGTTGTCCTTTCACAGACCTCTGGAGCAAGTAGCAAAGGTTTGCATTAGTGGAACATAATCATTTCGCCACTAGCCCAGTGAGTCCTGCCGGCCTTTCCCAGATCATTTCCACTTAACTATTAAAATTAGAATAAAAACCAACATTAGTCGTGGGCTAGCAGGCAGGTAAACGTCCCACCACCGCTTGTAAGATTTATAAAAGATTGGTTTTGAAGGTCTTTTGATGACTGTTCTTGGTCTACAGATGGGAACTGAACTACAAGTAGAACCATCGGTCCATAAACAGAGCACCAAAGCTGAACAGACAAAAACCTGACGGCATCTTTCCGTGCTCACGTTCCTCTGCTTCCTCACCGAGGCCGAGATCAAAGCAGCAAAACGAGCTTTATGTCGTCGCCCTTGTATCTGATGCAGCTGTTCCCATCTGTGGAGGCCATTTTTGCATCTGTAATAAAGTAAACATGAAACTTGTGCAGATGAATCGAAGAGGAGTTGGTCTTTACTCTGACTGTATCTCATTTTCCAGGTCCTTTTTTGAAGTGGAAGTAGCATGTACTTAGTGGTAGTAATACTCTGAACTGTTAAAGAAAATTGTATCAAAACAGTCAATTTGTGGCTCTGTGTCTCCTCCTACTAAAAAGGTTTTGGCAGGCCACCTTTTTTGTACGTAAAGTAGCCTTGATGAACAATAAAGTGCTTTTAAACCACTGTGACTGCGTGGGCCTCTGTTACTGTGCTGGTGTGTTCTGGTTAAGACGGAGATGCTAGAAATGGGTTTTGGGAAGATGCAGAGACATTAAGTGTATGAAAGGATGGATCCTGAATTCCACATAAACTACTGTATTCAAAGCAATATAAAGCTCTCGCATGTAAAAAGAATTAACAAAGAGACATTTTTATTCAAGTCTTTGGTTAAATACTTACAGAAGAGTAAAAGCGTGACCAAAACAGCTGAGAATAGCCAGAATTATGAAAGTCTCGACTCGATCCCATGAGTCAAATATTTTAACTTCAATCTCTAATCCTTTAACTAATCTCAGATCGCTTTTTTTTTTTCACACCACATTCATCGTCTTCCATAAATATCCAAGCAGCTGTTGAAACATTTCATTACACTGACACTGTTGTACATCAGCTCAGACAAATAGCACAGGGCAGAGTAGGAAAAACAACATGAATTAAACAAACGAGTGCATGCTCCGACACAAACGAACCATGAAGACCTTCAGTTTGTCCATAAGGCTCTTTTTTAGATTAAACCGTGCAGTTTCAGGCTCAAGGCTTGTTTACAGTAACAGTCAATCGTTTCCATATCAGAAGCCACAGTAACATCTGTGTGCCGGTTTCATACTTTCAAATCAACAAAGCTGCTTTTAGCATTAACTGTACTGAACGCATCACAGTCGCCAGTAAACAGAACGGGAGATGGATGGATTTGCCGAGTTGTCCACTGCGTTTTTGTCATTTCCTAATTTATCTGCAGCACGCTGAATGAGCGGGCAGATGTAAGTTAGTTATCGTCTTGCCGAAGGACTCAGCAAACCCATTACATGTGTTGGTGGAGAGACTGTGGGAGGGGTTGAACCTGTGACCATTCAGTGAGGCCTTTCCAGACAAAAATGCAGTGTTTTGTTTACACATCATGAGGTGATGGGAAGAGGTACATTAAACACAACAGCTTCAAACGCACAATGTGGAAAATCAACAATCAACTGTACTTGTTTCTAACTTTACTGTGAAAAACTGAATATTTGGGCAGTAAAAGAAACAAGATTATT